TGGTTTAACAGAGGTGAAGGCTTTTTATACTTTCCGTTTGTTGACATTATTCGAAAAAAAATCTTCTTCCGACAATCTCCTCCCCCCCGCCCCCACAATGCACTGGTTTTCCTTTCAGTGGTGAGCCGAAGTGGAGATGGATCATTACAGGGTAGTAATGATCCACAGAAGAACAACCAGATGAGCTGATGACTCAAAAGTACGGAAGAGTATTAGTCTCGGTAAAAAAAGGAAAGTAGGATGACTAATTGTATTGCATTTTAAGAATGACATCGAAATGCCAATAAAGAAGTCAATGGAAGTCGAAAAGTCAAGAAGACAAAATGTTGAGAATAAAGTCATTTTATAAGCTAAAACTGGTTTGATTTATTACTAATAATTCAACTTTATACAGAACTTTTCAACTGTATCTTGAAATAAAACATATTTGTGCTCTGACTTTATTCTCAACATTTCAACTTTATTCTGACGGATTTGTCTTCAATTGAATCTCTCTTTCTCTGAATTATGTTCTAATTATGGCAATACCAATTACATCTTTACTTTATTCTTGACATTTAGACTTAATTATCATAAAGCAAAGGAAATTCTTCCTTCTCTGGCACACTTACTAGACTTCATTCCCAAATGAAGTGCTCAATAAGCATTGATGGCACATCTGTAAGTCACAATGTTTAAATGGGTTGGTGAAATAGTATAACAAATGTGATGGACAGGCTGGTTGCAGGAAGTGGTTTTTGGTTTGACTGCAATCTGTCGAGGGCTGAAAAGAAAGGAGGATTTACTTCAGGTCTGACTCGTTCTCCTTCTCGGGCTCAGCTCCGCTAACCGCCTCCGGGACCGACTCCGGCCCCGGGATATTCTCTTCTAGCATCCCCGTAACGCATGGCTGCTGTCTGACCACTGCAGTCCAACACGCACACACACACCTCCACTCGCTGCTCTGCAAACACACCGCAGAGGACGGATGCCTCCAAATGCCATGAATACACCAACATCACCGCCGCATCGCTCAAGACGCTAACTTTACCTCAAATGACCGCTAATTATGCACCTGTGCCGCGACAACACGAGTAAACTTAAACACAAACTGACACATTCTTAATTTGTGTTTAAAATACTGATAAACAGCGTCATTTTTGATATTTCCTTACCTCCTGATAAAGTGAAGCACAGCAGCAAGTTGAGCGTGCGGATCAGCGCGAGCCAGTGTGATGAACCAATTTAACACATCTTTGAAAGACAACAGTAAGTAGCAACAGCACTTCCTGTGACTATACTTCCAAAAATAAAACTCCTTTTTAAGTGTCCACAGGGTTAGAATGCTCTTATTTATCTACAATGTTTGGACAATTTATACGCTTGAAGTATTTAGTTGTAAATATTTAGTTAATGTACTTTACCAGAATATATCCATTTAGCGTAGGCCTACTTCTTCTCCACTACTTCTCAAAGTTCATTAAATTACATAATTAACTAAATTACATTGTTGTTACTTTTTTAGATTCAGGTTAATAATACAATATTTAATCTACACTTTCACTTTTACTAATTTTGTTTGAAAAGGGTCAGTGTACTCCAAAAATATGTAAATATACCCATGTTACCTGATAACTACAATAATTACAATCTTTTGTTCTGCTTTTTCTTCTTGAGGCTTTTGATTGTAATTATGTAAATTGAGGACAGTTGATGTGGTATACCGTAGCTCTTGTATTCCTCTGACTTTAGGCTATAGAAAAAAGAATTATCCTGACTTGTATTTAGGGGAAAACACCCAAGCAGGTAAATACAGAGACACTACATGTATTGCCAGTCCCAACAGTCAGGTCAGTTTAAAACGGTTACGTCTCCAAGTCTCTTTAATCTGAATTGAATATGAAGCCAAAAACAAAAACAACTTATAACCAGCATAATGTAAAACACTGTAGTAACTACAGGGCCATTTTTTTTTTACAGTAAATCGTTTGGTACTGATACAAATTATTTTATGTTTTTGACATGTTTTTTCATTAAAGAAATATTTAATGGCTGTATAATATAATAAAACACAAAAATAAAAACAATGGATTAGAAATGAGGAGATTTATAAATTAATTCAATTTTTTAAAGTAACATGTTTATTTTGAAGGGAAAATCTTACTTCCGGGTGCACTTGTTTTCCTATCTCTAACTTGCTGCAGCTGCCTCTGCTAAACCCCGCCTGAAAACCTCTGTAAGAAAGCTACAGAGGTTTTCAGAAACAGTTCATCTTTAATGTCTTTGGAAAGATATAATGTATACACAACAAAAATGATATAAATAACAGAGGTTTTATAGCAGATGATACAAATACTGTGAACCTACTAAGATAAGTTCCCTTAAGAAATATTAAAGGAACATTACAATGATTTATTGTTGCAATGACATATTAGCAGACACACACTCACACACAAAAACACATATACAAATACACATAAGGAATATGGAAGCCCTAAAAATCAATGGTTCATATTGTTTACTTCTCTATTAATGTCGTTATCGCTAAATAGTAAAAGTGGTTTTCCGGAGATAATGAGAAATAAACCTTAGCATTATATGTTTGATTTATAAGACATTTATTTTGGTGAGAAAGCCCTTTATGACCATGTGTCGAAAATTTTAATTCCTAGATGAGATTTAACTCTTGCCTATCAAATGTAATCAACAGAATTTATTTTTTGTGTTATTTAAATATTTCATAAGTCATTATCTTTAGAAATGTTGTCATCGTCTCCAGTTTTGAAAAATCGAAATGTTTTATATTGAGATAATACATATTAAGCAATTAAGTAAAATTCAATAGGAATTAAGAAAAAACAGGAAATCAAATGTTTGTCTTTCATGGCTGCTGTACACACACACACACACACACACACACACACACACACACACACACACACACACACACACACACACACACACACACACTTGATTTTCATTGCCAACAAATGTTGTGCACATGGTAATAAAGCCACTGAAACTCTGAATCTTGAAAAGCTGTTATAATGTATGTCACTTTACAGTAATTCCATTTTGCATTTACATTTTCAGCTGCACAGAGATATGACATGTTCACGCCAATATTATGCAAACTCCGTTTTGGTATCCTTTTTAATGGTGGAAGTCAACCAAAAACATTTACTCATGCAGTGACCATAATTCATTACTACTCATAAAACATCTTTCATCTCCAGTGAAAAACATGTATAAGAGATTCTGAATGTTTGCAATAAAGTGAAAGATTAAGTATTCCTATATTCTCCTCCTTCTTAAGTTAAATAAAGTCTTTAAAAAGCCTGTTGAATTATCTGGAAAATGCGTCATGATATAACAGTAAAAAAACACTGACAGTGTAGATTTGACTGCATAATTAATACTTGTAATTGAAATACATTTGGCTGATTATGTACTTTTTCTAGCAGTATTTTCACATACATTTTTTTATTATGGCTGCATGCATTAGTTTGTGTTGTTGCGGGTCAATGCCCACAGAAATCAATAAATGATCAGGGATTTATTCTCTATTCCTCCCCTTGATGCAAATTGTTTTTGCCAAATGTGAAATCTCAGTTTGTAATGTTTACTCAAGGTTGTGACCTCTTCCTTCCCGGGAGACTCTTTCAAAGAGAAGACATTTATAACTAAGTACTGCATTAGTTATGTTATTTAAACGTATGCAAGTATAATAAGGATAATAACATTGTTGATATTTATTATTTTTTACTGAATCAACTAATGGATTAATGGACTTATTATTGTTATACCAAAATATCATGTAACCTTGTCATATGTTTCGTGTTCAGAAATTGCATTTTGTAAGGTAACTACAGCTTTCAGATAAAAGTAGTGGAGTGGAAATTATATTTTTCTCTATTTGTACACAACTACTACTTTTTGTCAAATGTCAAAAAATGTTTTAATAAAAATGTTGCTTTATTTATGAGAAGTAATCTCAAAAAGATCTGCTCAGGAAATATTTCACTTTGAGGACAGAAATTCATGCACACATGTGATTAAAAAAACAAACAATTTCAGGGCAGGAGGCTTTCAGCATAAAAGTTTCATTATTACCTGTTAATAAGTAAGCTGCAGCGTGTGCAGTTCTGCAGTATCGAGCTGGAGAAAAGCTGTGCTGACTTCATGAGATGAAAAAGTTCCCTGGACAGCAGTTTGCTCCTGATTAACGACACACTGAAGCTCAAGCTGCAGATTAATGACACTCATTTGAAAAGAGTAAGGATATGAAGCCACCAATTGAAAAAAAGTGGATAAGCAATCAGTGAGTGGAACAACATTTAACATGAAGGTTGGTGGTAGTTAACAGGATAACAACAGGAGAAAAGGAAATTAAACAACAAGACAGACACAGAGTTGTGTTTTTTCTCATACAACATTCAGTCCACTTATCTCCCCATTAAACTCCACATGCTGAGATTAAAATTACTTTAGCTGTTCCGAGCAACACAGAGCAAGACATCATCAGATTAATCCAGTAGCTAGATAGAGAAACACATCAGAGCAGCATCCTACAAATCTAAATATATGTTTACCCAGGTACAAAAGGAAAAGTCCTGAATTTTGTAATATTAGACACTATCAGACAAACGTTTTGGCATCAAAATATACATTACTGAGAAGGAATTTTTTATTTTGCAAAGAAAAGCAGCCCATTAATTCAGCAATTAGAGTATTATGGTATAAGGGATAGGATTTTTGGGAGGTACTGTAGTCAGATACACTAATATTTAAAGCTCATAATAATAATGATGTCATTATTAATAAATATGTATTAATCTTACACATTATAAATGTGTAAACTGTTCTGCTTGAGATTAAAGATACAAAAAGTCTCATTACAGTCCCAGAATTTAGACAAAAAGTCGGATCCATGATTTTAAAACTAGAGACTAGAGAAATAAAATGTGATGATTAATTCAAAGGAAATAGATGTTGTTAACCAAAGACTATTGTACCATCCTTTTTTTTCTTATAGTTATCTAACCCCACTCTCGAAAGTTGTCGGGCGTGGGGATGTTCATCTTGCCCCAGCCGAGTTTCTTTGTCGTTGGCGAAGTATCGCGAGAAGTTCCGAAGTCACGGGGATAATGGCTGGAGATCGCGGATATTAGAAGGTACTTTTCTGCTTTTATTTACTTTGTGCTGGATTAATAATAGTGCATTTACACCAACAGTTTACCGTAGCTAACGATGCATTTGCACGTATCGTCGTTCAAATAAGCGATGATAACATTCTGTGGCAAATTACGTCGCCACTACCGGTAAAAACATATCGAACCTTCGAAATAAGAGCACAATGTTTTCCGCGCTTTTTACCACTACAAAAACAGTTAGCTCTAACTTCATAAATCGACCGTTTTGGTAATAATCGTTTTCGAGGCCGCGTGTTAAGTACACAACTGATTCATAAATATACGTGAAACGACAAACCACCAACAGAAGTCCTTTAAAACGATGTACGACACTGCTATTAGCATTAGCATGACCGTAAGGCCTGTTCAGGAAGCAGGCGGGAGCTTTTATTTTCCAAAACTGATTTTCAACATCACCTGTCAAATAGCTGCTCATTCAGAAAATCACATATCTTAAAAACTGTTTATATAAAGTATACATGTTTTTTTAGACTTTTATCATGTTCAGTGGATTGTCTTCTTATACGTTTTTTGTTATTTCATAACGATCTTCAACAGAGAAAGCTACAATTGAAGTGTTAAAGAGGAGCTGAAGCAGTCACATTACTGAGAGTAAGTACTTTTATTATGAATGAATTGATTTATTTTTATTTGCCTAAAGGTAATTTTTTGTAATACTATTTTATGTAATTGAACTATTCTGTTTGTTGTTTTCCAGCTCTGTCACTGGATTTTCACCAGGTGAGTCATTACTATAGGACTGTACACAATATAAACACACGATAAAGCAATCTTTTAGTTTTATTTATAACTACCTCAACTAATCCACTCCTACTTTAATTACAGACCTCAAAGGAAAAGTACTAATAACATTTGTAATTGTAGTAATAAAGTAAATAAATAAAGTTGTTGGCGCATGTGCAAGGAGTACTCACATTTGGCTTCAAAAAGTTATTTAGTGCAGTTTTTCTTTCAATGTTATTTGGTAGACTCTACAATGAAATTAAATACATTTTAATTGTCTATTGCCATTTTAGAGCAGCAGTTGTTTAGTATTGGTTAGTACACATGTATCAAACAGACCTAATGTATTCAAACACACAAAAATACTTTCAACATACAGTAAATACTTTGAAGCACATCAAAAAAAACTTGTTATCACATGTAAAATATTCTCAATGTATGTTATTATCTCACAGCGCCCTCTAGAGGACAGTATATCATTAAGAGGAAAAATAATAACGATTGGCTTTAATGTTATATTTCTCCTCTCTTACCAGCTGTAGGGATGGCTAATATCTCCAGCCATGGGAAGCTGCTGCTGCACCGCCTCCATCAGCAGCGGGAGATGGACTTCCTGTGTGACATCACCATCATGGTGCGAGACGTAGAGTTCAGAGCCCACCGCAACATCCTGGCTGCGTTCAGCAAGTATTTCTCCTCGCAGGCTGAGAAGGGTCAAGATATCACGACCCTGGACCCCGATAAGGTCAGCCGCTACGCCCTGGAGAAGCTCCTGGAGTTTATCTACACTGGACAGATGAACCTCAGCAGGTAACACTTCATCAAATATAAATTGTGGTGTTAAAAACGGGGGGGAAAAGCATAACAAATGACTAAAACGTCCTCTTTGTCCACTATTAGACTAAGATGAGGGTGCTCTACTAGGAACGCTTTTACAGCTTTTGCAAAGATTTAAGGAGAACTAACCTTAAACAACATGTTTTTTTTCAGCTATTTAAATGACTAAAATGTTCCTTTTCATGGTTTCAGCACGAGACAGGCGGCGGTGCGTCGTGCGGCGGTGTTCCTGGGAATTTCTGAAGCCACAAAGTACATGGAGGAGACCCCGCACTGGTCCGAGCCCAGTGAAGCGTCTGAGCTGGATAAAGACGCTGCTTTCTCTCTGCCCAGCCCCACCACTCCTGGGAGCCCCAGCTCTCCTGTCCCCCTGTCCATCGTCTCCACGGCGGGGGAGTCTCAGGAAGAGGGGACGGCTGTCAAAGAGGCTGAGGATGTAGATATGGAAGAGGGAGAAGCCGAAGCCGATGAAGAGTACTCTCCTACTACGCAGAAGAGTGCTGGGAGAGGACAGGGAAGAAAGAGAGGCAGAAAGCCGAAGAGTTTTAGTGGCGAGCAGGTGGAGGCGAGCAGCTCTACTGACGGGACCCCCAAAGCCTACAGGGGGAGAGGGAGAGGCCGAGGCAGAGGGAGGGGGAGAGGGAGAGGTGGATTTAAAAGTGAGATTCTGCCTTTGGAGGATTCTGACGGTAGTGTGAAAGATTTTGGGGACAACTCTGAAGACTGGAGCCCCTCGCTGGATGATGATACTACAGCAAAGAAGCCTCGACTGAGCGTGGGAGAGGGGAGGAGAGGGAGAGGACGGGGGAGAGGTAGGGGTAGAGGTAGGGGTCGAGGCAGGAGGAAGGTCGTGAAGGAGGAGATAGAGGACATGGAGGATGAAGCAGAGGAGAGCGGCACAGGTGAGACAGATGAGTTTGACCTGGGGCTGGACATGTCCCTGGAGGAGGGGGAGGTGGGGGTGCAGGAAGCGGCAGAAATGAACGAGCTGACTCTGGCGTGCCCCGAGTGCGATAAACTGTTCAAAGACGTGAGCAGCCTGCGCCGACACGAGAAGATCCACAAAGGCCTGAAGCCCTTCGTCTGCATCTTCTGCTCCAAAACCTTCAGACAGGCCACGCAGCTGAAGACCCACCTGCGCATTCACACAGGCGAGTTACCATTTATACTTCAACTGTTACAAATAGTAGGTTCCACAAGCCAGGAACATATATATAATGTTTTACCCAATCAAGATGAAGGTAAAGTTCATGGAACGGTTACCAAATACCACTTGTTGGACGAACACATAGGAAAACGTTTCTATGTAGCTGAACCTCTCTGTTGTTTGTTGCAGGCGAGAAGCCGTTTAATTGCCCGGACTGCGACAAGTGTTTTGCTCAGAAGTGTCAGCTGGTGGCTCACCGCAGGATGCACCACGGAGAAGAGAAGCCGTACACCTGCGAGCGATGCGGCTTCAAGTTCGCCACCTCGTCCAACTACAAGATACACATCAGGTACAAACATACAGTGTATTATTATCATTAGTATATGCACAGAGAGTCAAGATAGAGTTTTATCCTGCTCCTTTTTTGGTATTTATCTGCAGGTTTAAAGATTGTGTATCATTTAGATGCAACTGATCTCTGACTTATTTTGTTTGTGTTTTCACAGATTGCACAGCGGGGAGAAACCGTACGTGTGTGACATCTGCGGTCAGGCGTTCGCTCAGTCCAGCACGCTGACCTATCATAAGCGCCGACACACTGGAGAGAAACCGTACCAGTGCGATCTGTGCGGCATGTCCTTCTCTGTGTCTTCTTCTCTCATCGCTCACGCACGAAAACACACGGGTAATTTCACATTTAGAAGTCATTTTTTGTTTAAGGAAAACATCGAGACTTGTCGTCTTTTGGCTCAAAGCTACTTTTTAAAATATATTTTAATTTTCCAGGTGAGACTCCGTACAAATGTTCCCATCCCCAATGTGAATCAAGTTTTGTGACGTCTTCCGAACTGAAGAAACACATAAGGCGACTTCATCCAGGTGAGTGTTGCTCAAGGCCAATCAAAATCAGTCTTTTCACTTTAAAGTATACTGACAATAAAATCAAAAAATATTCAAAGAGCAATATCCTAATATACAAGAATTAAAATCCTGTTTTTTTTTTATGAGCTTGTTCTTAATAAAACAGCCCAAAAGTGGAAATATATTCAGTCTTATTAGGACCTATCTGATCAAAATGAAATGTAACAAAATGTCTATAATCATAATTATGTGTGTGTGTGTTTGTGTGTGTGTGTTAGCAGACGGAAACACGGGTGTGCAGTGTCTGCTGTGTGGAAACCGGTTTGCCAGTGTGAAGAATATGATCAAACATCAGGAGAAAGCTCACGCTGACGAAGTGCGGCAACACAAGGAGAGAGCCAGAGCAGGTAAGCTGTGTGTGTGTGTGTGTGTGTGTGTGTGTGTGTGTGTGTGTGTGTGTGTGTGTGTGTGTGTGTGTGTGTGCGTGTGCGCGTTTCTGGGAAAAGGTTTAACTATCAGTTCACTCTGGAGGAAAGGCATTAAAACTTAATACCATATTACAATATGAAGGAAATGTTTGTACCAAAATCTTTGCAGAATACACAAAGCCTTTCGTACTTTGGAACAGATTTTTTTCATGTATTCCTCCAACGCCACATGAATTCCAATGAAAATCCAATTGTGGAGGTAACCAATGAGATCCTACCTTTAGGGTCGCCCACAAAAATAGGTGGTTCCTGCTCCACTCTGTTACTTTTTTCTCGAGTTAATCAATAGAACCATTGGTGAAAACAGAGTGCAAAGTTTACCTGTGGTTTGGTAACTTTGTGTTGTTTCTGTTTTGTGAGCAGTGGTCCTCCTGGCTTCCAGTCACCCTGTGGCGTTCGTCCAGAGTAAACTCTCTCAGGAGCACAAAATGATGGCGTCCATCGCTGAAGGCGGGGAGCCAGCAAACCCC